TTTAGTCAAATGACGGTTTTGTCAAACTAAACGGATGGTTTCTAAATTGCTGGTGCCATTCTTCTCTATCTCTCAGTGCCCAAGCTGGCTATTTTACCCAGACAATCCAGGCAGCCATTACAAGGTTTCATTGTTACAGTGCCTTGCCAACCTCCTATTTCCAGCTGCCAAAGGAGTCTTTTCCAAGTACCAGCCTGAGAAATGTGTTAAAAGAGACGTGGTACTGTTGAGTAGCTCTTATTTTGAGCCTTCATTGCTACTGTCACCAAACAAAATGTCATATTTATATGCAGTACAGTATAAATTAAGCTTTAGTTTTGAGCCAAAACGTGTTTAATTTTAAACTCACATCAGATGAGGAATCCATTTATTTATTTATTCATTCATTCATTCATTCATTCATTTTTTTTTATTATTTTTTTCCCAATGTGATTTTTCAATAGTTTTCACAAGTTTGCATTTATTTATGTATGTATGTATGTATGTATGTATGTATGTATTTATTTATTTATTTATTTAAACAGTATTTTTTGTTACTGCTGTTTGCGAAACTGGCTGGAATTTCATGGTGCTACATGAGCCGACATCATCTGAAAACAGACTGTGAGAAATGCAAGTTAAAAATTGGCATGTACAATGCTATGGCACCTCAAAAGAGAACCAGTCTGTTCTGTATATAATTATTAATGAAACAACTACTACGTATTACACAATCCCTCAGCTATTTTATGTTATTAATTTCTTCATATGGAGCTGTGATACTGCAATTCCCTAGATGTTTATTGGGAAATGCAACATGAAAAGGATGATTACGATAAATCCAGTTATAGCTTTGAACGGCTACATGAATTTGCCTCAAGGGAGCAAAGCTGCATATTCTGCCAGAAAGAATTTAACACACTCAAACCCTTCACACTACACCAACATTATTACTTCTGATAGATACTGCTGGGTTCAGCAAATATTTATCACTTTCCAATCATCTCAGCTTTCTGTCTGAATGATATTTAGCAGTTTTGTGTGTTCTGACTTTAGCCTCTCCAAAACATGAATGGTATACAAAGTTTTGCAAATTTAGACAGTAAAGTAAATATAAAAGGTCCAGATTCAGCTGAGAGGTCCAGATGCAGCCAAGAGCTTGTTTATCACATCACCCAAGTGGAATCCTCATAGATGAAATAAATGTGGCACTGCCTCTGAATAGGGCTGGGTAAGAATATTGAATTTTATGTTGTTTCTTTGTCCCTTTTGGAGCTATGAATAATGCAAGAATTAAAATGCAAGATAAAATGCAAGTTAAAAATTGGCATGTACAATGCTATGGCACCTCAAAAACAGTATTTTTTGTTACTGCTGTTTGCGAAACTGGCTGGAATTTCATGGTGCTACATGAGCCGACATCATCTGAAAACAGACTGTGAGAAATGCAAGTTAAAAATTGGCATGTACAATGCTATGGCACCTCAAAAGAGAACCAGTCTGTTCTGTATATAATTATTAATGAAACAACTACTACGTATTACACAATCCCTCAGCTATTTTATGTTATTAATTTCTTCATATGGGGCTGTGATACTGCAATTCCCTAGATGTTTATTGGGAAATGCAACATGAAAAGGATGATTACGATAAATCCAGTTATAGCTTTGAACGGCTACATGAATTTGCCTCAAGGGAGCAAAGCTGCATATTCTGCCAGAAAGAATTTAACACACTCAAACCCTTCACACTACACCAACATTATTACTTCTGATAGATACTGCTGGGTTCAGCAAATATTTATCACTTTCCAATCATCTCAGCTTTCTGTCTGAATGATATTTAGCAGTTTTGTGTGTTCTGACTTTAGCCTCTCCAAAACATGAATGGTATACAAAGTTTTGCAAATTTAGACAGTAAAGTAAATATAAAAGGTCCAGATTCAGCTGAGAGGTCCAGATGCAGCCAAGAGCTTGTTTATCACATCACCCAAGTGGAATCCTCATAGATGAAATAAATGTGGCACTGCCTCTGAATAGGGCTGGGTAAGAATATTGAATATTCAAGTAATGTTCATTTGACTGATTCAGAATAGTTTGTTGAAATCACATATTTGGAAATATTGTAAATCATATTCTCTTGCATTTTCTTACATTCTCTGTTCTTGCATTCATGATTTAAATATTTTAATTTAATTGTTCTTTTTTCTTTTGTTTTATTTTATTTATTAGTCATTTGTTTTGTGCATAATAATAGTAACAATAGTTTATCATCCTTTGTTTGCTGTCTCCTGAGGTTTTCCTTTTTTTCTTTTTCTTTTTTTTTTATTATTTCCCTGTAAACGTTGTTTACCTTGTCCAGGATAAGGTCAAACTTGGAAGTCAAGCCAAATATGAGACTAGAGCTTGTCATCATGATGCATTAGTTTAAATTACTTTAATATAAATTTAACAAAATCATCTCAAGACAGTAAAGTCTCCGTGATGTATAAATGCAGTGCATGATTTTTCTTTAATGTATGATGTATAATGTTTTTTTTTTTTGCAAGCCTTTTTTTTCTCTGCTTACCTTGTACACTTTCTATGTTTGTGCTAAAAAATTGCCTTTGTGGAAGTCAAAGAATAGCATGCGTATATTAATTCAGAAATTGCTAGTAAATTTCACACATTTAATTCAAATTAAACATTTAATTAAATGTAAAATTTGTAGGTAGAAAGACTGAAATAGTATTTTCTTGTAAACTTACTCCAGAATTTTTTGGTTTTTATTTAAATCTTAGAAAAAAAAAAATAAATAACATTTATTTTGTCCAGCCTCTGCCAGTAGGTTAGTAGGTGAGAGTGAAGTCATGTGAGGAGGAAAATATTCCTTTAAGCCAAAAATCATTTCTCTTTACAATCTAAGTCAAAGTAAACTGCGTACTGTATGGACAAACAAAATCTTGCTTGAAATTGTCCCTGCTCTAGCAATACTCTAGAGCTTTTAGTTAATCTTTGTTAACGTTTGCAGTAATTCATATGTAATCCAATTGCTAAAATTTTGCTAGAGAATAATAAGATTCTGAAGCAGGAGCTAGCAGCTACATTGCTCCAGTGTATTAGCAATAGCACACTTTTGTCTTCAACATCTACACTTTTGGGTCATTTTATCACTTTCCTGAGTTAATTTTCATCCTGATTATCTCTGTTGTTCCGTATTCAGACTTAGTAATGTATTCAGCACCTGCTAAACCATGAATACCTGCTCCCTATGCAAGTGTCAAGAGTTCATTATTATAAATTAAGCAGCAGCCCATGTTGGCAGCATTTGGTGCCTTATTTCGGCCTGGCAGTAGACCATTTAGCAGATGGTGCGGAGCGTTTTCCATGGCAGGTGCTCAGAAATGCAACAGTTTTCAAGTATTAGCTCGATTACAACAGGATTGTAATATCTTTGAACATCATAATCCATTTGAGCATCACACGTTCAAATGGATTATTCTTGCACCAGGCCTATTGACCAGAGCCACTTGTCTCATCTAGAAAAATGTCTTAAGTTCACCCCCCCCCCCTCTTATTTGGACCAGCTGGATTCTTGGTATCCCAGTCAGGCTATTTGTCTGCTTTATGTTTTTTCTCTGTTAGGCACTTGATAGCTGGTTAGAATTGACTAGAGACCAGCTAGACAACCAGCTAAAAAATCAAAACATTAGCTTGGTCAGGCTAACTAGTCACCTGTATTTTTTGTTAACAACATTACAAAATACTTACATTTTACAGGAGTTTTCCACCTCAAAAATAAAATTCTCTCATTTAGTCACCCTGTTGTCATCTCAGATGTATAGTCCTGAAAACAGAAATATCTGATCTGATCATAGTTGCTTTGCTCTTCTCATACCATCTATAAGCTTTTGTGTTACCAAAGCACTGTAATACATTCCAAAGAGCTCTGTTATCAGCCCCAGAGTGAAAAATGAATCCATATCTGGACTGACTGAGCCAGATTGCCATGGAATGGAACAGTTAAACGAGAACCGTTTGACCCAACATCCACATTTGTGTTTTGCATAGTTTTTGAAGCGTCGGTTTTGAGCGTTTCATCCCCCTGCTTTATATGGACTCACAGAGATGGGTTATTTTTCTAAAAATCTTAGTTTGTGCTCCACAGAAGTAAGAAAGTCATACATCTGTGATGACGTGAGGGTGAGCAAATTATATTTTCATTTTTGAGTGGGAAAAAAAAACTACGTAAATCAACCATTTTAAAATGAATCAGAGACTTCTGCCAACTGGTAGGATAGCCAGTGCTCTAAATGTAAAGATACTGCAAGCACCTTCTTTTGCAGTTCCCAAAACTATTTTATTAAATAAATGTATAGTTCAGTCATGAAACACTAGATGGCGCAGGCTGACGGGTATTAACGTAACTGATGATATTCACAGTGTTAAACAACTTGGCACAAGCTGATTGGTTCATGTTGCATACGCAGCCAATGAGCTTGCTACCTTACATTTAAATGGCTGGTTAGCGTTCACTTGAGCATTTGCAGCGTGATTTCAGAGTTCCTCTGAAACCCACCACCTTCCCCAGCTCCACCTGTATACATCTGCTACGGTTTATTTTATATGCTATTTGTGCAGCAGCAGTAAATACTGTCTTAAATACTCACAGCACTGTATCGCCGTATGCATTGGCAGTAGCAAGTTCCCGTACTTGCTTGCAGCAGCAGCAATAATCTACAACTACAACAATAACCAACAGCAGCAGCAATTCAGCAGCAGCAGCAGCAATAATCTACAACTACAGCAATAACCAGCAGCAGCAGCAATTTAGCAGCAGCAGCGTAGCAGATCTGTTCCGCCAAGACCAAATACATTAACATTGTCATAACCATCACCATGCTAAAATCTTCCGAGAGTTGTCATGATTGAAATAAATAAACATTCAAACAAACCCAACATTAGTCCACTTTTTACATTATCACTACACCCCTGGAATTGCACCACTGATTTTGATTTCCTGTGTGTTTCTGGTTGATCTAGGTGTCCTAACAGTGGGAGGGGTTCCTGGAGCGCTACAAGACGAGGCCTCTTGCAGCTTCGCCCACCTGCTGTAGATACTTGCTATGTCTCATCGGCTTAACACCTGCCTCTGCCTACCTGTCTGTGTCTCGGCTTTGTAAATGGGCAGCACCCTCTTGTGCCACGGAGAGCATACTGTATGTTCACAAAGCGCCTCACGGATGGTGGTACAGTAGGAGCCTTGAGGACTTTAAGGGCGCAGCACAGGACAATGAGGCACCTACCCTGTCTGAGACTGAACCAGACACAGGCTTTATGGGGCTCCACCAGTGGTTCTGACCTGATCCGAGACTGTGAACCTAACTGCTCTGTGAAACGGCTTTCTGCTGGAAGATGTTTTTGGCGCTCATACAGACCAAAGAGGAAAAATAATACGCAAATGAAAAAAAAATGCATTGATTATATGAGCGCGGACTAAAGAAATTATAAGAAATTCTAAGAATATATATATATAAACCTAAATGTAGAGAGAGAGAGAGAGAGAGATAGATATAGAAAGACTATGTTATACAGCAGTGGTCTACAAATGGAAACGCTGACGTGGAAAATTAAAACGACTTGGTCAACCATTCCCATTTATCACAATCAGAGGAGAACCTTTAATACTATACAGGAATTTCCTTGAACTGAATCAACCACTGTATTCCAAGGATAACAAGGATATAGATACTGTACGCATAAAAACGTCAACAAATTTAATTAGCATTTTTCAGTAGCAACATTTTGGATGGTTTGCATTAAGCATGGAAGGTTAAATGGAAGAGTACCCCATTGTTTAACGTCAGAAAATATTAAAAAAGGAACATAAAAAATGTAATTTCTGATTACCAGGAGTGAAATATGTCATTATATGTATTTTGAAAGGCCTACAAGTTATATATTTAACAGTTTTATATGTTGTACCTTTGTAGAGAACCTTATTTAACATGAATAACGTTGTGGAAATGACAGATATAGAATGTGGGTAATGCTCTGCTCCATAATGCAGGCCTGTCTTACTGTTTATGTTCAAACTCAAGTAGCAACTTTCCCACAGGTTCTTAAAAAGGAAGAAAATGGACAAAACACACAAAAAGCAATGATTTATTGCAGAAAAGTGAACATTCAGTTCCACATATTACAGTCATAGAAACTGCTTTTAGCTTTTTTATTGTAAAGGATCGGAGAAAACCCCTTCTGTTTGGGTTTTCTGAGATTGATTTTTGTGCTTGTGTTTGTTTGCAAAGTGCTCACCTCCAAGTCTTGACACCTCCAGAGACAGTTCAGAAAGTCTTAGATTCATTTACATTAAATACTTTTTTATTATGAAATATTTTAAGAATAAATTAAATAAGTGAAAATGAGTTGCTAAAACAAAATTGTAATATCATGATGTTTTTGACTGTTTCTTTCCCTTTTTAAAATGAACGATGCTTGGTTTGACAGAGATATGTAGCAATCTACATATGGAGGCAGATATGATGCATTCATTCAGATTTGAACGGAAGTGAGGAGACTGAGCGGTGAATTCACTTCTTTCTTTCTTTCTTTCTTTCTTTCTTTCTTTCGTTTTTCACTAAGCACCTGCGTTCCAGTTTAACCAAAGGCTAAATGCATGTTATGAGTTAATAATAATAATAATAATGATAATAATTTTTCTACATTTGGGAAATCATGCAGCTTAACTTTTATTTATTTAGCTTTTTTTTATGTCTGCAAATGTTTTATTGATCATGAAAGCAGTAGTTCATCAGGTTATGAAGAAGAGTGTTATAACCAAGCATGCATCAAGAAATGCTGTGATGATTAACACACTTTGAGTTAGGTGCCTAAATTACAATGGTGAAGTGATTCTGTACAGTCCCAGAATTGTATGCTAGATTTTGGTCTTTCACAACCGAGAACTGGCCTACAAAATTGCGAATTGCCATGTAAACTGAATTCAGTACAGATTTTTTGGGGCATGTTGTGGCATTATTCTCCTGTTTTGTATAATTCCCCTGCTAAAACAATGGGAAGAGTGTGCAAAAAAGCAACATTATTAATAGGCACAATTAATTTCCCTCTTGAATGTTTCATTAACACAGTAACACTTGAATTAGATTTGTTGTTGTTGTTGTTGCTATTGAGTCTCAGCCCACAGACAGGACAGGGGACATCCTGAATGGATGGCCAGCCCATCTTGTTAATTCTTGTTTAACTACTGATAATTTATAACACTTCATTGGTAAACATGTATTAGTTTATATTAATAACATATGAATACCTAAATTAATAATAGTATATTAGTACTAAATTATACATGCTGTAAAGGCATTGTTGATTGTTAGTTCATGAGACCTAATGTTAATCAACTGAACCTTATTTTAAAAGTGTTACCCTTTCCTCAATTAATAAGTTCAGTCATTTTATTTCTTTCAGTGGCACTTCATAGGTAGTACTATGTAAATATTGTAGTATCAAAATAGCCTAGTATTATCATCTGATACCATGACTTGGTACCAAACAGTAGTTTCTGTAGGGGAGATTTCAGAATGAATGCAGAAGCCATTATATCTGAAACACCCATACACCCAAACAGTAGGCTAATACAATGAAACAAGAGACAGATGTATAATCATAATAACTGTAGTTAACAGATGAAATTATGTCATGGTAACATTTTATTTAAAAAATATTAAATGTTAACTATATATATATATATATATATATATATATAATTTAAGACAGAATGGACTTGACTTTTCACTGACAGTTCAATATAACAGAGTCAAATGGTACAAACAGTGCATCATTCAAAGTTCTCACAAATATATGACATACAAAATCTCTGATTATGAAATACAGTACAATCTGATTAATAAACTTGTATTTAATAATCACTGCTGGCAGTGATGATCGAACCAACTCAGACAAACTTTGTTTCAATAATCTGCTATTTTCCATGTCAACAATGAAAATTACTAAATGATTTTGGTAATATAATCCTCATAGCTTGCATTGGAGATTTGACTGATGCTGGGTCATTCCTATTATGTATTACATTTTAAAGTCACAGTAATCAATCAATCAATCAATCATGTATGTATGTACGTATTCATTCATTCATTTAAAAAAAAAACTTCCTGAAGCTTTATCTCCAGGTGCCATGCAACAGGCATTATTTATTTATTTATTTGGTTTGTTTGTTTGTTTGTTTGTTTGTTTGTTTGTTTGTTTTTATCTATCTGTCATTAATTTATTTATTTTGTTTGTTTGTTTGTTTTAGAGTTTCAGGGTTTTAGGGGTTTTGAAGGTTAAAGGTATCTTTCAGGTGATTCTTCATTTATAATTTCTCAAAACTACAAATGTTAGAAATATAATATTATATAATATAATATATATTATATAATATCCTCACAATAAATATAGTCTTTTATTTGTAATTATAAAAGACTGCAGGGTGATATAGCCACAGCCATATCACCCTGCAGCCCAAGACTGGTTACCCACTGAAGCTAAGCAGGGTTGAGCCTGGTTAGACACTATACTGACAAAAAGCACCGTCTTTCGGATGAGACGTTAAACCGAGGTCCTGACTATCTGTGGTCATTAAAAATCCCATGGCACTCATCGTAAAGAGTAGGGGTGAAACCCTGGTGTCCTGGCCAAATTCCCTCCACTGGCCCTTGTCAATCATGGCCTCCTAATAATCCCCATCCACTTGATTGGCTCTATGACTCTCTCTCCTCTCCACCTGTAGCTGGTGAGTGGACTGGCGCCGTTGTCCTGTGGCTGCCGTCGCATCATCCGGGTGGATGCTGGTGGGGGTTGAGGAGGGAGAGACCCCCCCCCCCACATGATTGTAAAGCGCTCTGGGTGTATAGCAGTGCACAAGAAAGTGCTATATAAATGCATCATTCATTAATTGATTCATTATTATACAGGTGTTTCACTTTCTCAGTTTCACTTTCCATCTTTTGCAAATATCCCTCTAACTAACAAAACAGGTCCCTAATTACATCATCCTTCAGGTGAAGATAACATCACTAATGTTGTCAACTTATTTATCATTGATTCCTTAAAATAAATAAATAAATAATCTAGAAGGCTGGAATATTTAATAATCAGATGGCTGAATTACGATAATCTGCTCTGTATCTTTGAATACATTAGACTTCAAACCTCTGGAGTTATTTTTATCCGAACAAATAAAAAAAAACATTTCCTAAGAGCAATGCTACATTCAAGAATAAAGACGTCACCCCAAAAAAGGCAACGTGCTCCACAGAGAGGCAAAGTAGGTCATATGTTAATTATGTTGCGTGGGTATGTGTGTGTTCTGCACACTTCCGATGGTGTAGTTTAGTATATTTTGTGAGATCAAACAGATTACACAACATTGTTTTAATTGATTTGGCCAATACAAAAAGATATATCCATCTATTCAAAAGACATCTATCCATTCTTTTCTACAAATAATTTCTATAGTCATTCTGAGGCTGTTTCTTTCCTCTTTTCTTTTCTTTTCTTTTACCATTATAGAGTGCAAGACTTTTCATTCCAAAAGCAAAAATTGTATTAATTTTCTCTATAAATAAATTAACTTACAATAATAATAACTAATCACTACACTATGCTCTTATACCATGCACTACGCCTAATGTGTATATTTTATAATGTTAATTGTGTGTTCAGCAGAAGAAGGAAATTCATACAGGTTTGGAACAACTTGAGGGTGAGTAAATGATGACAGAATTTTCATTTTTTTTTGGTGAACTATCCCTACGACAATTGCAAGAAGTCTCCAACATTTTTTTTTTTTTTTAAGTTTAAGTTGGAAAAGTTTTTAAGTTTAAATTATACACTTTTACTTCTGGATTTTTCAGTTTGAACAAACTATGCACACTATTTATACTATAAAATGGCATAGAATAGTGCATATGTACACAAAATTAAGACATCTAGTTAATGATGGACAATATTTTTCATCTTGTAACTCTTTCTCTCTCTCTCTTTTTTTTTTTTTTTGCACCAAATCAAAGTTTGTAATATTGTGATTCTTCGAAGCTGGTTGTTACAAAGCCATTTTTTTAAATCATTGTGGAGAAAACATATAGGGGGAAACCTTGATCCAGGGCAGCTGAAAAAAAAAAGAGAGACATACTTTTACTGGCACCTTTTTTTTTTTTTTTGGTGGTGGTGCATTATTACTACATTTACAGTGCCACAACAAAATAAATTTAATTTCAGTTGTGAGTCTGCAATTCAGATTGATGGTGATTAGAAAGACTAGGTGCCAGAAAACAATGCAAATACAATAAATAGGCAACATTATGTTTATTGATTCATACAGCACTTTATACAATACATTAGGTTTTAAAGAAGTTTCACAGTAATGCACAGAACAATAACTGTGTTATTGTTGCAAAAATCATCAATTATACAA